CCGTCCATCAGTTGTTCAACAAGTATTTCATATTTATAGAAAGTAGCCAGGATCAAAGAAGGAGCATGGCTATTAATGATTATATGGATAGTTCCTTTCCAGTATGATCAATTACCATTGCATTACATTTTTTTTCCAAAGTAACCTCATTTGAAAACATTAATTAATCAGTAGAGTTAAAAAAGATTGACATCTTCAGGTAGAGTCCTAGGTAGTATCTGGACTCTAGCACAGAATACTGGCAGCTTGGGTGGGCTACTCAGTGTCTTTCATCTCCCAGTAGTACATAATCAGTGCTTTAGTCAGTTTTTTTTTTTCACTGTGATCAAAAGATCTGAACAGAACAATTTTGAAGAGAAAATGTCTATTTGGAGCTCAGGATTTCAGAAGTCTGTCTGAAAATATAGAGGACCAACTCCATTATTTTGGGCCCAAGGTTAGGCAGAGCATCATGGAGGAAGGGTGTGGCAGAGGAAAGGAGCTCAAGTCACCAAGAAGCAGAGAGACTACTCTGCTCAGCAAGGACAAAATATAAACTCCTCCTCCAGCCACACCCCACCTGCTTAGTTACTACCCGGTTAATCCATTCAAGTGGCTTAGAGCAATGATTAGGTTAAGGCTCCGACAACCCGATCATTTCCCCCTCTGAACTTGAATTGTCTCACACGTGAGCTTTTGGGGGCACCTCCTATCTAAACCAAAATAATCAGGGATCAGCACATAAGTAGTCCCTGAAAAAACAGAAGTTATCATAATTAAGTGACCTATTAAGAAAAAGTGGACAGATATCAATAGTTTCACTTTTCCACATGTGTCTCTAGGGAACTTCCATGAATATTATCTTAACTGTTAGATATTGATGGAAACAGGAGTAGGTTTAGAAAATTCTTGTCAAAAAAGAAAATATTTTTGAAATGTAACTCATACTATTAAGATTATAAACTTGAATCCAATGAAAAGTATTTTTCTTTTGATTATAATACAGACTTTGCAAAGTATGTTCTGTTCTTTGTCTTGACCAAAAGTTCACATCTAATAAAGGGAAGTAGTAAGGGTCGAAGGAAATTGAGAAAAGGGAACTAGTAATACATTTTTATGATAGATGGTTTACATTATTGTTTGTTTTGTTTTGTTTTGCCCTCAGAAGATCAAGCTATTTAGGAAATTCACTCGTAATGTAATCCCCAAGAGTTGGGGTTGATTTGGGAAACTTTTTAATATGAAAATAATAAGATAATAAAGCTTACAAAGGCAAGGACCAGCAAGCTGGTGGCGAGTGAAGAACAGGGAATACCATGAAGTCCAGCTCCTAGAAACCAAGAGTTATTGCTATTCTCCACTTGTCTAATGTACTGTGTGAGATGTCACTACTCAGCTGTCCAATCAATAGTGAACAGGTCAATTTGAATTAGATTATTTGAACCTAAATCTTGATAGAGTCAAGAAAAAGTAAAGAAAAATTTAAAAAACTAGATGAGAGATTGCCCATTTTACTTTCAATATAACATTCTATAAAATAATGAACAGGGCCAAGCTTGGTGGCATTCCCTGTAATCTCTGCTATTCTGGAAACTAAAGCAGGAAGATTGCAAGTCCAAGGCCATCCTTGGGAATTTAGGGAGACCCTGTCTCAAAAAATAAAAAGAACTGGGGTTGTAGTTCAGTGGTAAAATGCCCCTGGGTTCAACCCTCATCGTCTAAATAAAAAAATAAATAAAATAATAAAGTGACTCCCATGTGGCCTTAGGAAATGAGAAAAAAAAGGAGACACATTCAAATGGGAGGGGAAATTGTGATCATGCAAAGTTTCAATATAAATTTGCATAAAAATATGCTTGACCCCTAATAACTTAGGGTGTCATGACTGAAATTGAAAGTCATGTCATTTACCTGTATTTATTTGTCTATTTATTCACCTATCTATCCATCTATTTATTTCTATTTTTTGGTACTGAATATTGAACCCAGGTCCTTCAATATAAGTGCTCTAAGACTGAGCTATACCCAGATCTCTTTTTAGTTTATTTTGAGACAATGTTTCCCTCAGTTGCTCAGGATGGCCTGGAATTTGTTATCCTCCTGCATCAGCCTCTTGAGTAGCTGGGATTACAAGTGTGGCCAACTCAGATATAATGTTAAAATTCTACATTCAAGATAAAACCAAAGCCTGGAGAGATTCACACTTAATAAGTTCCAGCATAGTTTTTACAGTATCATTGTCCCTTCAAGTGATGATTATTATCAAATAAAATCATGGAGATACTACTTAGAAAATACTAAATGGCTGGGCATGATGGCACATGACTGGAATACCAGCGGCTCAGGAGGCTGAGGCAGGAGGATCTCAAGTTCAAGGACAGCCTCAAAAAAGCAAGGTGCTAAGCGACCTAGTGAGACCCTGTCTCCCTCTAAATAAAATACAGAATAGGGTTGGAGATGTGGCTCAGTGGTCAACTGCCTCTGAGTTCAATCCCTGGTATCCCCCCAAAAAGAAAATATTAAGTAATTAAATATGATTACAACTCATGCTTTAGCTTGTCATTAAACCCCTAGATTTTAAAAGCTGTAACAATTAATATAAATCAAAATATTGTGATGATCATAATTTTAATCCTCAGTAAAACCAGTGTGTGTTAAAAACACTTTGTAATGATATAAACTTGTGTCTTCCAGTGATTTCAATCTAGAAACAAGGGGAAAAACAAAACAGGAACTAGCCAGGTTCCTGTTCGTCATGAACATTTTGAGCAAGATAGGAATGTGTCCTTTAGTGAAAGAGATTTGTGTTGTCGAGCACACAAATTACACATTTTCATTAAAATGTTCCATTGATAAATGTAATTTTCCTTGGATTCATGGTTATTGTATTTGGTTTGATAAAAGTGCAATCAGAATAAATTACTTTTAAATAGATGGACAGGAAAAAAGACTACTTTCTGTAGTTTCTGGTATTATAGAGATAACCACTTCCTAAATGAAATGGTATGAAAAATAGAAACAGGCTCACCCATACCTTCCAAGCTTAACTACTATGACTACTACTGAAATTTGTATATACGTCTCTCATCTTTTAAAAATATTTCTATTATCAGGTGTAAAACATACAGAAGAGCACAGAAAACTTCTATATACAGTTTAACAAATAGTTAAAAAACCGTTTGCCAGTGTAAACACCACCCAGGACAAGAAATGAAACATTGCTAGAAGCTCCTGCCCATCCATTTCTGTTTTTGTTGTTGTTGTTGTTGTTGTTGTTGTTGTTGTTGTCTGTTTGTTTTTTCTACTGTGACTAAAATACCTGGCAAGAAAAATTTTAGCAGAGGAAAAGTTTATCTAGGGGCTCATAATTTCAGAGTCTCAGTCCCTACACAGGGACTCCATTCCCTGAGGAATGGGGATCCATTCCTCAGGGATTGAGGTGTGAGGTAGAACATCAGGCAGAAGAGTGTGGGGGATAGAAGCAGCTCACATGATGATTAAGAAGGAGAGAGAGGGAGGGAGGGAGGGAGAGAGAGAGAGAGAGAGAGAGAGAGAGAGAGAGAGAGAGAGAGAGAGAGAGANGAGAGAGAGAGAGAGAGAGAGAGAGAGAGAGAGAGAGAGAGAGAGAGAGAGAGAGACTGACTCTACTCACCAGATACAAAATATATACCTGTTATGGTTTGGATGTGAGGTGTCAAATGTTCACATGTCAGAAAATGCAAGAAGGTTCAGAGGAGAAATGATTGGGTTGTGAGAGTCTTAACCCAATCAGTGAATTAACCCCCTAATAGGGATTAACTGAGTTGAAACTGAAGTGGTAGGGTGTGGCTGGAGGAGGTGGGAGTTGGGAGCATGGCTTTGGGGTATATATTTATATTTGATAGTGGAGGCCTCGCTCTCTCTGCTTCCTGATCATCATGTCAGCTGCTTCCCTCCACCATCCTCTTCCACCATGATGTTTAGTCTTACCTCCAGCCCTAAGGAATGGAGCCTACCTTTTATGGAATAAGACCTCTGAAACTGTGAGCCCTCAAATAAACTCTTCCTCCTTTAAATTGGTTCTGGTCAGGTTCTTTAGTCACAGCAGCAAAAGAGGTGACTCAAGCAATACCCCAAAGCCAAGATCCCCAGTGCCCCCTCCTCCAGCCATGCCCTACCCACCTTCAGTTGCCTGTCAGTTAATCCTGCCAGAGGATTAATTCATTGATTGGGTTAAGACTCTCCTAAGCCAATCATTTTACCTCTGAGCCTTCTTGCATTGTCTCACACATGAGCTTTTGGGGGACACCTCCCACCCAAACCATAACACTTCTCTCCCCTTCATTTACGTGCCATGCCCTGAGCTGGTATTCATGAATGTTACACAATATCTTTTATTTATCTATTTATCTCTTTATTTTTTCTTTCTTTCCTTTCTGGTACCAGGGATCGAAGTCAGGGACACTCAACCACTAAGCCACATCCCCAGACCTTTTATGTGTTTTATTTAGAGACAAGGTCTCAGTGAGTTGCTTAGGGCCTCACTAAATTGCTGAGACTGGCTTTGAACCCCAGGTCCTCCTGCCTCACCCTCCAGAGCTGCTAGGATTACAGGTGTGCACGGCCACAAAATCTTATAATACTTAAAAATCAAGCATATAATATGATGAGTCACTCTCCTACATAGAGAAGTTTTTGTTTTGTTTTGCTTTTAGTGTTGCTTTGCCATGAAGATATTGAAGCATTTGTTTTAAAATATTTATTAGGGGATTTTTCCTTTAAAAATTGTGAATGTTTGCCCTGCCAGGAAAACTCTGGAATTCAGCTGAATCCTTCTGTTCAATGTTCAGGGTTTAGCTATACAGTTCTCTGAACAAATAAAAAGAATGTTTCACATTTTCTAAAGTCCACTCTTCAACATCTCCTTCCTTCCTGTCTACTTTTGAAAGTAATTTCAGAGTTTCTGCAGGCGGGCTCCCCACCCCTCCACTACCTCCACTACCTCAAGGTCCAATTCAACCTTTTAATGTGCTTTGACACAGGAGCCAAGGTTGCTAGGAGACCACCTGTGCTGAATGTACTGGGCCTAGCAAGAGCAGACCGAGAAAAAATAAATAAATAAATAAAATAAGGAGCTCGTTACCTACGACTACCTGGGATTGATTCAGGTGAGTTCAACTCAGAGATGTGGAGGAAATAAAACATTTGATGTCCCATCCAGTGACCAAAACATGAGGGAGGAGTTTGAGGAAAAGTCAAGGAAGGAAAGGCTTTTTGCTATTGTTTTTAATTCTGGGCTGGCGGTGTGGCTCAGTGATAGAGCACTTGCCTAGCATGTGTGAGGCACTGTGTTTGATCCCAAACATTCGGTGGTGGGGGGGGGAATATATACATACACACACACACACACACACACACACACACACACACACACACTTATATATATAGTCGTTACCTACCTTTCCCCATGCCTTCAAATCCTCATTTCCTAGTAATACAAACTGAACAAGTTAGAGGAATGATAACTTAATGAATGCCAATAAAATGATCAAGTGATCAATGACTGAAATCTTTCATAAGTAAACTGCTGATGATGTGAAAAGAGCTATTTCTCTTCCTGAGAATGAAAGGAAGTTTAGCATTTGGCCTATAGACCAACCATGTGATGACCATGACAGAATGGTGAATGTGAGTTGGGGAAAAAACATTTTAGCTTATGTTTGGTTACAAATAGGTACCGAAGTATTCCATAGAAGATGTGACTTCATCGCTGAATTTTAATAATGCAAATATTAGGTTGAGTGGAAACAAACTGGATTATGAATGTGTTCACTTTTTTCTTTTTTCCCCTAGGGAGCCAGGAATATTCTGAATATGAGTGGAAAAAGCTGGATATTAATTTCTACTACTGCCCCCCAAAGTCTGGAAGATGAAATTGTGGGGAGACTTCTAAAAATTTTGTTTGTTTTATTTGTTGACCTAATGTCTATTATGTATGTTGTTATAACTTCTTAGAAAACTGACTTCACATGTGCATTTCAAATTAAATTCCAGTGAGTAAAAATTTGTATTTAAATATGTTGAGTGATTTTAATTTGATGACATCACCAATTCATTCTAGWAGCCAACAGAACATTACAATAAAAACAACATTGTGCATTCTTCAGTACTTCATGGTTTATAAATAAAGCTCACAAAAATTGAAGTGGTAGGTTCCCCGTCCCCCCCTCAAAAAATCAACACTACTGAATTTTAAAACTGCCCAATTCTTAAACATTGTTGTTATTTGTTGTATTGACTAAAATTTGTAGGTGAAATTATAAGTGAAGTTAATTTTTAAGGATCTAGGCCTATGTGAAATTTTATGTTATTCTTTTTAACACACCACACCTAACATCCCAGAAGCACAATCTTTACATACAAAATAGCATTAGTTTGTCCCCATTTTCTTATAGACCTGTTTTATTAATTTATAGGTAGATTGCTTTTCTTAACCTTGAGCAATTAAATAAGAAGTCTATTTCTATCAACAAAGACTTAAGAGTTAGGAATGGAAATATTTAAACAGATTCTTTTAGGAAAACAGTATTTATAAGAAAAGAGGAAAATAGGGGATGGCCTGTGTTAGTTTCATATATGGGAATAAATACTCATTATATGCCTTTTAATAGGCATACAATAAAACTAGGAGACAGGTGTGTGTTGTCCCCATTTTACCAGTGAAAAAAACAAATCTGCGAGGGATTATGCCAGTTTGAGTCCATAATCAGAAGTAGAAGAAGTAGGCCGTGAGCCTTCCCAATCCATGGTATCAGATTCCTTCCAGAGGAAACCAGTAACATGTTACTAATATAATACAGTTAAAATCTGTAGAGCTCAACTTTTTTTTTTTTTTTTTTTTTTTTTTGGTACCAGGGATTGAACTCAGGGGCACTCAACCACTGAGCCACATCCCCAGCCCTATTTTGTATTTTATTTGAGACAGGGTCTCACTGAGTTGCTTAGCATCTCGCTGTTGCTGAGGCTGACTTTGAACTCTTGATCCTCCTGACTCAGCCTCCCGAGCCACTGAGATTACAGGCATGCACCCACCATGCCCAGCTCAACTTTTTTTTTTTAATGAAAAATAATGCTCCGTTTATGTCCCTATTAGTGTATGTAGTATTGTCTATGTTTATTTTTTTATTCCACTTTAATAAATCTTTTATTAAGAAGATTAGGCACCAGGGGTATAGCTTTGTAGTAGAGCACCTACCTAGCATGTAGCCCTTGGTTCCACACCCAGCCCTGGAAAGAACAGGAAAGAAAAAATTTACCTTCTTCTAATGTCTAAACTGAATTATTTTGCCTTGTTTTCTTAATTCCTTCATTTTCTAACTACCAGTGTTAAAATATAACTGCTGAACTCCTTTGTAAACTTTTGAAAAACAAGGTCTCTGTGTCCTTTAGACTTTTGTTTTCCTCCCTGGTACTGGGGATTGAACCCAGGGATGTGCTACCACTGAGCTACATTTCCTATTCTTTTTATTTATTTTTTTTTATTTTGAGACAAGTCTTGTTAAATTGCTGAGRCTGGCCTCAAAGTTGTAATCTTTCTGCCTCAATCTCCCTAGTTGCTGGGATGATAGGTATGTGCCTCTGTTCTCAGCTGACTTTTTGAGTTTTTACATTGGATACACACATTTTTTAAAAATTCTGATTTCTTCCATACCATGACTGTCCTCTCAGATCTGGCCCAATCATGAATGCAAGGTTTCATAAGGGACCTAATGAAGTGTGGAAGGAACTGGACTTTGAACATGTTCCTTCACTGATTCTTACCTAACCTTTCAGTGGTGTTGGATATTTAACCATAAGCCAAACAGAGACAAATGGAGCATTAATTGAAAATTGTAGCAGAAAATCTTACTCTTTTCAGCACCACATTTTCAGACTCTTCCTTTTGTGTATAAGGACCACCTCCTGGTGATATGATATGTTTCTTCTCAACTTCCTCTGGCTGGAACTTGTTGGAGCCTATTATTGGGTCACCAACAGATGAGTAAAATCACTTTCATCTTTTGGCAATCATTTTTTTTTCCTGGAAACTTGCATACAGTAGGCAACCTTGTTAGAAACGTGAAATCTGAAGCTAGATTGTGTGGGTACAATGTCTGGCTTCRCCTCTTATCATTTGATAACCCTATATCAACTTTTTACCTAAGGATGAGTCCCTATATCCTAGATTTGTAAAGAGGATGAATTGAGATAACTGGTGCAGAATGCTTATCACAATACCTAGCATATGGCAAATCCTCAATTTATAATCAATTGTTGTTCAGGACCTAGCAATTAGGGCTAGGTATCATATGTGACTTGAGAGAAGAAAAGATACATGATAAACATCCTTTTTCAAGAAGCAGAGTAATAATATGCAAACACTATGGTTTTGTAGTTTGAGGTAGTTTGTTTTCCCTTCATGTTTCAAAAAATACTCATTCACTTTCATTTTTACCAGAAATGGTGCTGGGCAGCCAGGTCAAAGTTATGAACAAAATACAGCTCCTATTATAGCAGCACAATTCATAATAGCTAAACTGTGGAACCAACCTAGATGCCCTTCAATAGATGAATGGGTAAAAAGAAATGTGACATCTATACACAATGGAATATTACTCAGCAATAAAAGAGAATTAAATCATGGCATTTGCAGGTAAATGGATGGAGTTAGAGAAAATAATGCTAAGTGAAGTTAGCCAATCCCAAAAAAACAAATGCCGAATGTCTTCTTTGATATAAGGAGGCTGGTTCATAGTAGGATAGGGAGAGGGAGCATGGGATGAATAGACAAACTCTAGATAGGTCAGAGGGGTTGGAGGGCAAGGGAGRGGGCATGGGAGTTATTAATGATGGTGGAATGTGATGATCATTATTATCAAAAGTACAGCTACCAAGACACGAATTGGTGTGAACATACTGTGTATACAATCAGAGATATGAAAAATTGTGCTCTATATGTCTAATAAGAATTGTTATGCATTCCACAGTTATATATAAATAAAAAATAAAATAAAATAAAAAACAAGTTTATGAGAGCAATAGAAGTGATCTAATTCTGTTAACTTTAGCAAATGACTTAACCTCTCAATGGTAGTTTTCTCATAAACAAAATGGTAACATTAATGCCTATTTTATTGAATTTTACTATGAGAAAATGCATGTAAAGTAGCTAGAACCTAGTGGGCATCCACCCTACTTTAGATCAGTTCCTTTTCTTTCTTAGCTCTATGGTTTCATTATCATTAGTGAAACATGCTGAGTGTACTTTTAAAATTGCTGTTTTGATTTTAAGCTTTTTCACTGAAAAAAATTATTAAAAATAAATCCCAGTAAAGATGATAGATATTTTGGCAGGAAAACAAATGCTACACAAATGCAATCTCTACAGAGTTAACAGGATCTAACCATAAAGAATAAATAGTTTATTTTAGAAAAGAGGCCAACATGACTTCTATTAGCTTTGGCCATTGCCTGGCAAGGTAAGGTCTTATGCCAAATTTATAAAGTCAGCAAGTTTCTTGTCCCATGATCATTGAGTAAAATGTGACACCAATGTTTACCAAGGGGTGGTACTTTCTGGTGTCACTTGCCTTGTGCTGTGATGAGGTCCGAGCTTTCATCCAGGGACTGATTCATTCCTCAGGTGAAACATCAGCCTTCTTAGCCATGTCTGAAGAGAATGGCAGACCTGTGACATTGATCAATCATTGTAGCCACATCACAGGGCAAGAAGTTGAAAGATTTCCTAACATCTGTGATCCACAAATGTGTGCCATTTAAATGCAGTAACATATCTGTTACAGAAGTGGCACATTATGCAAATGAAGTTTACATTCTTCTTTTTTCACTTTGGCAACAGATAGAATTACATGTTGGGGGTTGAGTTTAGGTCAGCCGTAGAGCACTTACTTAGCATCCACAAGACCCAGGGTCACATCTATAACACATGTATTGCTTCTTTTTTTTTTTTATTGTTGGTCGTTCAAAACATTACATAGTTCCTCATACATCATATTTCACAGTTTGATTCAAATGAGTTATGAACTCCCAATTTTATCCCGTATACAGATTGCTGTATCACATCAGTTACCCTTCCATTGA